AATAAAACATTTTTTTAACGAGGTGGGGGAAATTAAAGCATGTTGCCACCCCCACCCCTCACATCACCCCCTCCCTCCCCTCTTATGAAAGTATCATCGGCCCATTCTCTAGCGATACCTCCACCTTATTCATTCCAAAGCAAAGGTCATTCATCCATGCCACCTCCACGTTTAACTGCCCCTGCGGAGCGATTCCTCTCCCTGACACTCGGAAAATTAATGATTACCCCAGCTCTTCTGCGAGCAAATATTAGCTGCGGACTCACGCCCCGGGGTGGGGTCCCGCAGGGTGTGGGGGTAGGGGTAGAATTCAGAAAATGAGGGTGAAGTGTGGCGTTTTAGTTAGACAAGTAGAAAAGGATGTGGGAGGGGGGGGGGGGTGATTGAGCCTCATTGGAATTTGAAGTCTGTTTTTGGTATCTAGAGGCTAATGTAAAATTGTTAAGCGGGGAACAAAAGCGTCAAGATTAACGGGCCAAAACTCCAGTTCCTGCCGAGATTAAATTGTTCCACGTCTTTTCCGACCTCCGACCTCTGCGATTGAACTCATCAAAGTGTTCACAATGCAGGGGGAGGGGGATGATGAGAATCAAAAACGTTAGTCAAGTTGGGTTAAATAATGGTTTTAAAATAAATTGATTGCCTGAAGAAAAAAAAATATCATTTTTTTAGAACATTTGTCTCGAGGGCTTTCATAACTATAAAATTAATTGGTTTTCAAAATGTATGGGAACCGATTTTGTCATTTTTAATTTTTCAACCGAATTAGTTGTCTATATATGTAGCAAAAGCTAAGGTAGTTTTACTGGGGTTGTTAGGCTAGCACATGCACACTTATATATACAATGGCGTAGCACCCCCCCCCCCTCAAGCTTTCGATTTGCACCCCCCCCTCTCCACCCTTGTCGGGATTTGTCAGATTTGCTCTTAAAAGACTTTTTAACACTCGAATTAATTACTTAATTAAGTGGAACATTTTTCTCTCTATATTTTGCTATTTTTAACCTTGGTGTTACACCCCTAAATAGTTTCACGCGGTGCGATCCGCACCCACCGCCCCCCCTGCTACGCCACTGTATATATATATATATATATATATATATATATATATATATATATATATATATATATATGTGTGTGTGTGTGTGTGTGTGTGTGTGTGTGTGTGTGTGTGTGTGTGTGTGTGTGTGTGCGTGTGTATATTATAGGTAGGAGGAAACAACTACTACACTACTAGCACTGTATAGATCCCCCGCTAAGTAATTCTGGTGTAGCCACACAGCTGGGTAACTCTGGAGTACATTTCCGTTAGCCGTACCCCGCTAAGAAAACAAATGTAGGTTTAAAATATTGAGTAAACATCTTCAACATTAATCACAAGTCTCCCCCTTGTTTAAGGCTAATTTCTCTAACGATACACAGTCACAGCAGGGTGTTACATCGCTACCAGGCATACAGTGCCACAGTAGGTACCGGTCGTGTCATGCTAGTAGTGGGTCTATGTGTCAAGGGCGCTCAAGTTCCGGTCTGCCACCCCCCTTATTGATGTTAGATGTGGGTCTATGTGTCAGGGCGCTCAAGTTCCGGTCTCCCACCCCCCTTATTGATGTTAGATGTGGGTCTATGTGTCAGGGCGCTCAAGTTCCGGTCCCCCCCCCCCATATTGATGTTAGATGTGAGTCTATGTGTCAGGGCGCCCATGTTCCGGTCCCCCCATATTGGCATATGTGGGCTCAGCTCACCCCCCGTACGCAACAATCACGTCACTGATGCTCCCGTAGGGGCGAACAATGTGGACTGACACGGCACCTCCCCCCCCCCCTCCCCCACGTCCGGCCGTCCGCCAGGTGGCGCGAACAATACGAGAGTGACGGCGCTAAATAAACGGCCGCTAAACTGCTGGTCTGACACCGGAACCGAGCGTTGAACTAATTAGCAATTAAGTTGATGATCCAGGGAGAAGGTGGTTTTGACAAGTCTCCCTGAAGCATTATGTTATCTAGTCACATGATTTTTCTGCTGATTTTTGAAACTTATTTTTAGATCTATCAACAAAATTTAAAAAGCAGTCGTCTTAATCAGTTTATTATCGATCGCATCTATCACATCGTTTAATAATAGATGATTATAATTATTGTTTTAGAAATCACACAAAAAAGAAGCTCTTTCATTTGACAGAACTATAGAAATGTATTAGAATTTTTGTCTTGGTTTAAAACTGACATACTATGTTAACACAAAAGTGCCGTCCATATTGTTTCGTGTTACTAATATTTAGGGGTGAAAATTTCTTCAAGCACCTCTCTAGTAAAAATAAATCAATTTTTTTTCTCTATTTTTAATTCTATTTTTTCTTGACCTAGTTAGCAACAAGGTCGTGCGCTATTTTTGTCGCCAGAAGATTAAAAACATGAATGGTTGCTAATTGGCTTGTCATATACAAGGACAGATAACTCGTGCAGTTTTCAGTTGTGAGGGTTGGTGTGCAGGTTGGTGGGGGGGGGGGGGGGGGGGGAGGGAATTAGAAGGGAAATAGTGACTTGACCGCTTCGTGTCACATGAGAAATCACGTGATTTCACAGACCAAACAGAGGTAATGATTGGCTGATGTTTGTATTTTATGATAATTTTCTTTGAACTATTGAACTTATACTGCATATTTGACACATTTCCTCTCATAAGCAGACTTTTCTTTAAAACATATTATTAAGCTACCGACACTAAGCAAAATATTAATATAACTTGCAGATGTAAATGATAAACCTATCTTTAAACCCAAACCCTAAACCATGACCCTAACCTTCATTTATCAACATGACACTTAATTGTTTTAAAATTCTACCATCAACCTACCACACCTAGTAGGAACTGTCTATTGTCAGACACTGATAACATTGATACTTCCCCTAAACTTTGATAAGCTAAAGCAGACAAACCACAAATCTAGAACTTTACCCCAAATCGCTTACACCTACTTCTAAGCAGTAACCAACACAATTTTCGCACAAACTTCCGGTCAAGGATCGAATTTAATTTACAAAAACCGATACCAATCTCACGATACCTCACTCACGATACCCGTCTCGCACTCACAAGTACATCGTCAAGACATAGTCAAACAATCCCATGGTACCCCATCACCATCCGCAAACAATCCCATGATGCCCCGCCACCACTCTCAAACAACCCCGGGGTCAGTTCTATTTTTCTCCCTGACCTCATCTGCCTGTGCGCATGACCAAAGTTTTTTGACGCCAGTGCCACGCGGACATCACGCGGTAAACGTTAGGGTCAAATGGATTCGGTTAGGATTTAATGGGCTCGGTCAGACCCGATGACGTGGGTAGACAGTTTGGCGCCCGTCGAAAACCTTTCTGGTATTATTCGATTATCTAAAGATACATATTCATATGGAAAGACGTGGCCGAGCGATAGCGCACTTGAATGTTATCCGGGAAGTCTTGAGTTCGATTTCCGTGCTGGGGTGATTAGGGCGTTACTAGGTCAACTTTGGTGTAATAAAGCAGCTGGGCATTATGTTGAACATACAATCGCTTCAAAAAATACCTTCAAACCATCCCTTTAAACAATCCATTCGAACAACCCTTCAAACAATCCCTTCAAACCATCCCTTCAAACTACCCCTTCAAACTGTCCATTCAAACAATCCCTTTAAACAATTCCCGAAGTCCTAAAAACAAATGGACCATCCAGCTACGTACATAGCTGCAATGTGATAACCATACCCCAAGCCATACCTACCCATAACCCCTAACCCCTAGTCCTGACCTCTAACCCCTAACCTCATCAGCAACAACCAACTTTGCTGAACACACTCTACAACCCAGCCGGGGTGGAATAAATCGCATTGATACGTTTTAAAACGGTATAGTATCTAATAGCTATCTAATAACTATCATATGCTGCCCCACTTGGCGAACATCTGTTCTGACTCCGAGGCATACGTCTCAACTCTCGAACATCTTCAATCCTTCACATCCAGATCGGCTTTCGTTCATATGTTCCATCAAACACGCGAAGATCTTTTCTGATTCCCAATAAGAAACAAACAACTTCTGATGTATTACGCTAGATGATCAATTTCTCAAGTCTAAAAACACTATTATGTAATAAGCAATTAAGATGCGGAAGATTAATTAATGACCAGTTAATTTAACCGTAACTTTGGATTAATTACCCAATAGACCTCACACCCGTCTACGACGAAGAAAAAAAAATTGACAAGACCCGCAGCTTTTTTCTTTTTAGACTTGGTCTATACGGCGCCACGGCCCTACCTTCAGCCGGCAGTCTGCTAGCCGGCTTTACCTTCAGCCGGCAGACCTGAGCTTAGCGGCGAGAGGGGAGGGTCTAACGGGGGGCAACTCCCCCTGGTGTCACTGATAAGCTCTGCGCCAATCAGCTCCACAACTTGTTGTTTAAGAGCCAGTTTTAAAGCCTCCAACCTCCCCTCCCTACCCACACATACACCCCCGCCCCCCCCCCCCAATATAAAAAAGAACTCACCGGCTGTTTGCGGTGAAGCTGTAACTAGCTCACTACGTTTGGAGAGCGCGTGAAGACCCACCACTCACCCCCCTCACACACACACGCACTCACACACACCACACATTTTTACACTGTCGAACCACACGTACTTAAGTGTGAAAGTCAGATAACGTTCTAATGTTCATAGATGTAGGTCTACTCATTGTTTCTTAGTTTTAATTTTTTTTTTAAACTTCAAGTTAAAAAATTCCAAACTTCTCCCCCCCCTCGACTTTTACTCCACCAGGTGACGTCAGAAGGGGTCTTTGATTGGTCGCTAACCGCGCGAGCAGTAATCACGTCTTCCCCCAGACCGGGGATCCACGCTTGGCCGCCGTCGACAGCGAGACACGGGCGAGGTGGGCGCGCGTGCGGGGAGTGAGCACCCCCCCCTCCCCCACCCCTCGCGGACACCGTTCTCACGGGCAGTCGTTATCTCCGAGGGTCAGACAATCGCCAATGACTTAACTAGCGCTAACTACGCGAGGTTAGATCTGTGGACTAGACCAGCTCTGTGAGAATCGATCCATTTACTCACTTGATTTTAGCCGGGCATTAACCTCTACAACAAGGATTAATACATTGAACTCGACAGATATTCGCGGATTATTGTTTAATAACACAAGGTAAGATAATCAATTATTAAATTATTATATCTTTGTATTTATCAGTAGCCTATGAGTTATATATAAATTATTAAATTTGTAGCTTTAAAGATGAAATATTTTGGTATAGTATTAGTGAGTAGATTTGTACAAGAAACATAATAAAAATTAACATAGGTCATTAAAGATAAGGTATCGTAATTCTGAATAAAATTTACTAGTAAAACAAAATTCAATAACAAAAACAAATTAGCCAATATAATGAGCAACTTGTTTTTTATTAAATCACTTATTTCTTTAATGAAGGGGCGGGGTAATCCTGATAATAACACCAATCAGTCAAAAATATTTAATCTTCTAGATACTTGTTATTCGAGAGTTACCGGACTTAGTTCTGTTATGTGAATATTACATCTTTTAATTTCTGGTCAATTTTTATTTGTTACAATTTTGTGAGAGTTACCGAACTTTAAGCCTGTTTTAAATTCTAGTCCAAAAAGGTTTGACTTCACGACAATGTCATAATTAGGTCTCATTACCTCGAGTCGTCGAGTTTATGACAACTAGTAGTTGTAGTCTGTGTGGTGTTTGATGGCGTGTATTGATTAACTGCAACATAACGTCTACATGGTGTAGCGCATTTTCGAGATGCGCTCTTTTATTTATAAAGTGTTTCATATTTCATATTTTTGTATTTTGGTCTACTATATAATTACAATTAAGTCGAGTCAATTAGTTAGCTCTACAAAACACATATTTGTACAGACGGTCAGAGAATCAATTTTCCTAAATTGTCCAATTCAGTTTTTTAAACAATCGATAAACACACGGATTGTGAGTTTACTCAGATTTGTAAATAAATAGAAAAATTAAGGCCTAGTTTTATTCAATTTTTAATTTTCCCGACAGTTTTAAAAAAACTATTTATAATTATAGTATAATGCAAGGCATGTCCGACATATTTGTTTATCAGCAAAATTTTGTATCAAACATTCAACGGGTTCTAGAGAACTCAACTAGTCTGAGACGAAGTAGGGTTGTATTGTTTATGACATCAATCAGTTACAAGTCTGGTGAGATAATTAGCCTAGTCTTAATGAGTATCCGTGATAGATAAATCTGGTATTTTGGCTCTTGTGGAAGAGATGACCCTGTACCTCGTAGGTAGATCCGATTAAAATATATCACTAAATTATTTGCTGTTTTATAATTAATCTTGATTTTATTGATTTTTTTTCTTTGAATTCTTAAAACAGATGGTTAATCTGAATGCATTGATTTAAAATAGGATGGGGAATGGATGGTTGGGGGAGGGGGTGGGTCTGAGAGTAACGCGATATGTGGGGGGGGGGGATAATTGTCTAGTTCTAGTTCACGCCAGATAAAGTAACTGATTAATTAGATCAATTAAAACCTAATCATATTTTAATTAAAGCACGGCATTTAAGAAACTATAAAGGATTATGGTAATTTTAAAAAATTAATTCTAATTTAGTTTGCGAGTTGCAGTCGTAAAGATCGTTGTCATGACGAGGGGTTTCTAGCGAGATTTGTTGATTGTTTAGTTTGTTGAATATGCGGTTTGTTGGATGTTGTCGGTAAAGTTTTTGCTGGATGAAATTATGTTCCATGAATTTTTGTTGTATACATGTTTGCTGGATATTTTTGTTTGATACATTTTTGTTGGATATGCTCTTGTTGGATAAACACATGTTGGATGAAGACATGTTAGATGAAAACATGTTGTAAGAACATATGTTGGATGAACACATGTTGAATGACTTAATGACCACAAGCAGAGGAGCAGGGTTTGATATCTCTGTTAAAAAAAACCCTCGGAATACGCTACTATTAAAATTTAACCAAAATGACAAGATCGCTATTTTTATTTTTAAATTTTTGATTAAAAAAATAGTTTGTTTTTAAAATGTATCAAAACAAACAAAAAGTAAAATTAGTAATGCTAATATCTCTTTAAAATGTGGTATCTGTAAGAATGTAGGCTTAAGTCATATAAAATGTGTTACAGCTGACAACACGGTTAAACTTTGCTTCAGAATGAATGTGGGTTTAACAAGAAGTATTTTTAGAGCTAGGTTAAAGGGATGGAGGGGGGATAGGTGTGGTGACGCCATTTTAACTTTCAATTTACTAATTACTAATTTTATTAGTAAAGACTAGTTATATATAGTACGGCCATTATATTTTGAGTATTCAAAATAATTTTTAGCAAATAGTTTATACTACTAAAATTTTTTACATTGAGCAACTTCCTGCTAACATGTGTGGGTCTCATTGTTTGAGTTCAGCAACACAAAGTCCACCATCCAGGGTCGGCTCATTGTATCGGAAGTTTTTAAAATATAATTTTCATTTTAAAGCACCTCAATTTTCAAAAATAATAATAATTAATTTAGAAGAATTGGTGTCCTTTTCCCCCCAAAGCGTTATTTAACTTGACAAAATGATCTTTAAGGATCTTTAAGTGAATGATTTCCTGAGTTTGACAAACGATACAAAGGCCATTTATTGGCCAACGGCCACAGGAACCTTGGCCATGTCCAAGACAATTATTGAATCGCCGCTTTCTTAATGGACTTCTTGAGACGGTGAAAGATTTTGGTGAAAATAAAAATACTGGAGATTAACTAGCAATTAATTTGAAGAAATAATTAATGACGTCGCTTGCACGTCTGAGTGATGATAAAACGTTTAGTGACTTAACGAGCGAGAGGTGAACTCGTTGACCTTTGGGTGGGAAGTCATGTGACTTGGGCCAGACATTGGAATCGATTATCTATTGTGTTAAGTATCGATTATCCGTTGCGTTAAATAGCGGTGGACGCAACTAGTGGTCGTCATTATGGTGTTGTGTACTGGGGTGTGAGGGGTGGGATCGTGGGGTGGGGGTTGTTTGAGGGGGTCGTTTGTTAGGATTGTTTCATGGAATCGTTAAGTGGGATCATAGAGCGGTATGTTTGTGTGAACTTGTGGGGTTGTTTGGCTTACTGTGGGGATTGTATGGGTAATGAAGTGTGGGGTTGTGTGGATGATGAAGTGTGGGGTTGTGTGGGTGACTGTGGGGGTTGTTGGGTGATGAAGTGTGGGGTTGTGTGGGTGATGGAGGTGTGGGGCTTTTTTGGTGGATTTTGTGTGGGGTTGACCCCCGTACTTACCCACATTTTATTACTAAAAATTTTGGCCCAAAACAAAAACAATGCACAGAATATTCAACGGTAGGTTTAAAAAGTGTAACCTGTTTGAATGTTAATAAACGGAATATAATAGAATTTTGCTTGTCTTTGAGTATTACATTATTTTGCTAGTACTAGTATTATTAAAATGGTATCATCATATGAATGGAAAATAAAAATATTTTGTACATAATAATTACCTAATCTTTGATTCATCTTCATATGAATAAATAAACAAAGATGAACCGGGAATATTACAATATTTAGGCCTAAATTTTGTTTAATTATTAATTTATCGAACAAAAGGTCCCTAAAAAATAAAATATGTCTATAATGTCTATAAAAGCATTTTGAGAGTAGTTCCATATAAGCCTATTTTATTATTTACACTTAAATTCAATTTATAACATTTTATCAGTTACATTCTTTTTTTATTTGTAGTGGTTGTGATCAGCTTAAAATTACCACAATATTTATTGATTATTAAGAAATTTGAAGAACATTAAAAAAAATTAAAACATGCAACAAAAATAAAAAAAATAATACGGCAAAAAAACAAATACTAGTAATTTACTATTCCTTGCCACACAAATATATGCAATCTTCCGAGAATACCTACAATACTTTTAAGACAAAATAAGCACATCTCTTGAACATTACATTTTCTATTAGTCTATCATTGAGTAGATTTTTAAATTTAATTAACAATAAGTTCTATATGTTAATGATTTTCTCCTATATAGGAGACGATGTTAGATTTTTAAATATTTAACCCAAGCGTAGCATCACCTCCACTAATTTAACCCGTCTTTTAAAGACGTTATGGATTCAGTGTTTCTTCCAGACTTTTTTTCTCCGGGGTGGGGGGGGGGGGGGCACTTGAAATTTTCTGGGGGGGGGGGGGGGTAGACTTTCTTCGGGGTGGGGGGGGGGCGGACACTGTTAAAAGTATATATTTTCTATATAAATTATATAAATTTCATTTCGTTCGGGGGGCGGTAAAAAATGTTAGGGGGGCAGAGCCCCCCCCCCCCCTCAGCGAGGAGATGCCTGGAAGAAACTCTGTTTGGATTGTTTAATATTTAACCTAAGCGTAACATTGCCTCCACTAATTAAACTCCCTTCTTAAAAAGACATGTTGGATTGTTTAACATTTAACCTAGGCCTAACTTCAACTCCACTAATTTATTTAACTCCGTCTTACTAAAGATGTGTAGAAAGAGACATTACATATTAATCTTCACAATGATGTCATTTAACACAACATAATACAACTATCACAACATACCCAATCCCGCTATATCAACTATATGGCAATGACAAATAATCAGTAACTGACACATTCTGTCACTGACATATTTTCTGTCACTGACATATTTTCTTCACTGACATACATACCGTCACTAACACACATACATAGGATTAATATCTGATTCTCGGTTTATAATATAACCTAAGTTTATCATCTAATCTCGATTTAATATCTATTTATGTTTCTCATCTTATCTAAGTTTACCGTGTAATTTAGTTTTATCATCTAATGTAGGTTTAGCATCTAACTTTAGTAAAATTCTAATTAAGTTTCTTTTTCTAACGTCTAATTTAGATTTTACATCTAATCTAAGTTTAACGCCTACTTATGGTTAATATCGAACTTACTTACAAGATATAATCTAGCTCTGTAATCTAATTTAAGTTTACAATCTAATTCAGATTTAACACCAAACTTTAGTTTCCTGATTAAAGTAGATGTTAATGAAGGGGATCCTATGTTATTCAAATTATAAATGGTGTTTATGCATTACTTTATAATTTTTCTACAGGTAAACTAGTAATATGCCTGTTAATCAAGGGCATTCGAGCTGAATTCCCCTATAGTTCATACACTGGTTTCATTAACTTAATTCAATCTAGAGGCGATACACAGCTAATAAGGTAAACAAACATTATGGCTATAATATACAATATGTTTTGTTCCGTTTCCATGGTGAAAATTTTTAAACTTTTCGTTAAACACTTTAAACAAACTACATGCAATTTGTTGAGTAAAATGCAGGCCAACATCGATTACGAATCAATTCAAACTGTGCCTTAACAGAGAGCTATTAAAAAGAAAACGAAACAAAAATCAATCTTTTGTTTATAGGATGTTAAGCTTGTTAAAGACTTTTAGAACATACATAAATTAGCTATTTTAAATTAAGAAAAAGCAACAAAATATATATAATCGCTCGTTTATCAATAGCTCTGCAATAAATTACGTCACTTATCCACATAGCCTCTATAACTCACGATTCGCATGATTAGAATTTATTACTCAAATTTATTTTTACACATATTTTGTGTGATAGACATATTTTGCTGTGAGTTGTAAATGGCTGCCATCCTATATACTTAATTCTTAATTGATTAAGGAACAAATAAGTAGGGTTGTTAACTGCTTATATATGATGATGGGTTAGTTGAAGGTAGATAATAAACTAGGGTTGGTAACTGCTGATACGTGATGTTATATGGGCTAGTTGAAGGTACAACTAGGGTTGGCAACTGTTTTCATAGTGTGAAGCATCTGATGGTGCAGTGTTTGGTGACACTATAGGTTATACCTGGTTGTTGTGGTGGAGGGGGGGGGTCAGATATAATATTGTAATACTAAGGTAAGATGGTAGGTGGTGTACGGATTATATCAAGTAGTACTATGGAACCCGTTTTGAATGTTACCAATTGACGTGGTAGACTTCATAACTCATGTTTCTTATCTCAAGCCCACCTCCAAAAGAAAATCTGTATTTAAAAACACATTGACCTATGATTACTTTTATTCACCAGCTACACGTATACTATAACAAAATGTGATGTGTTTCAACAATACTTTTAACACAAGTTTTAAACTTATCCCTAATAAAATAATGGGTCAACATTTACATCCACAACGAGCATAATTTTTATCATTATACATGTAATGTGTCAATTAAAAAAAAATAGACTGCTGATTCATTAGGAACATTGACAGTGTTAAGAAAAAAACTATCTTTAATTAAATTAATTTTAAACTTAAAAAATAATTCTTAACGTCCTAAACATAATCGTGATGTAGAAATAGATCTAGTAGGTCAGTAAAATAAATCTGAAAACACCCATCAAAGATTGAAAAGGTTACTTTATTACAGTATATTAGTGAGTCACTGTTAAAGTTTACTTTAAAAATATACTTTAGCTATAGCTTTAATGAGGGGTCGTAATTAACATAATGAATTATAAATCTCCATCCGCTAATCAATATCGATGTTACATAAAAGAAATTTAAAATTTCCAATCTACTCAAACGGCGTGTAAATCATTCCCTGGCTAGCTAATTAGCATAATTATAAAATGTTTAGCAGATATCGCTTGTCTCTAATTAAATCAGCCCTCTGCTGGTTTATTAATTGTGTGTACTACCAGCACGATTTAATTTAAAACGGTTAATTAGCAAGATAGCAGAAATATCAAGTTTGTTATGGAGCCCACTTATGTTTTTATTCAGTATGATATGGGGCCCACTGATGTGCTTATCCAGTATGTTATGGGGCCACTGATGTGTTTATCCAGTATGATATGGGGCCCACTGATGTGTTTATCCAGTATGTTATGGGGGCCACGTATGTGATTATCCAGTATGTTATGGGGGCCACGTATGTGATTATTCAGTATGTTATGGGGGCCACTAATGTGTTTATTCAGTATGTAATGGGGCCCACTGATATTTATCCAGTATGTTATGGGGCCCACTGATATTTATCCAGTATGTTATGGGGCCCACTGATATTTATCCAGTATGTTATGGGACCCACTGATATTTATCCAGTATGTTATGGGGCCCACTGATATTTATCCAGTATGTTATGGGGCCCACTGATGTGTTTATCCAGTATGTTATGGGGCCCACGTATGTGATTATCCAGTATGTTATGGGGGCCACGTATGTGATTATCCAGTATGTTATGGGGGCCACGTATGTGATTATTCAGTATGTTATGGGGGCCACTAATGTGTTTATTCAGTATGTAATGAGGCCCACTGATATTTATCCAGTATGTTATGGGGCCCACTGATGTGTTTATTCAGTATGTTAAGGGGCCCACTGATATTTATCCAGTATGTTATGGGGCCCACTGATATTTATCCAGTATGTTATGGGACCCACTGATATTTATCCAGTATGTTATGGGGCCCACTGATGTGTTTTATCCAGTATGTTATGGGGCCCACTGATGTGTTTTTTCAGTATGTTATGGGGCCCACTGATGTGTTTATTCAGTTAAAAACGTTTTTGTGTGTACTCAGGTCAGGCTGACGCCCCCACCATGTTCGCCCCACCCAGTTCCTGGCACCCCCACGTCTACAACAAGCCCCCTCGACGCCTCACCTCCTTCCTCATAGCGGACATCTTGGGTGACGTCAGAGACGCGGACAGTCGAACTTTGGACTCGCGAGGGTAAATATTGCATGTGTGTCTTTGTTGGTACTCACACGTAACTTAATGACCTAGTTTTAAGGTCTAATATTCTAATGACCTAATTTAAAATATTGTAAATTACACGTAATGACCTAGCTTTAAGGTATAATATGCTTATAACCTAGTTTAAAATATTGTAACTAATACTTAGTGACCTAGTTTTAAGGTTTAATATTTTAATGACCAAGTTTAAAATATTGTACCTTACACGTAATGAAATAGTTTTAAAGTCTAATATTCTAATGACCTTGTTTAAAATATTGTAATGAGCTAGTTTTAAGGTATAATATTCTAATGACAATTTTAAAATATATTATGTAATGATCTAATTGTAATTACCCTTTTTACGATGTTATATTATTAAACTAGTTTTAATATCTAATATATAATGCCCGAATTGTAAGACCTAGTTTGTATTGACCTAGTTGTAAAGTATAAACTAAGTATAACGTCACATTTTATAATGACCTACACCTAAAGGGTGATTAAAACATAAGTTCACAATTTCCAACCAATGATCTTCCCTAATGATATATTTTACAACATAATAACGAAATCTCCATTAAGTGTGTAAACAATTAATCATTTCAACCTCATCGATATCCCGATAATTAATGAGTTTAAAATTGTAATTAAATATAGAGCTATAAATAACTAAAACGGTAAATTAGCAGGTCGTTGATAAATAAATTTTATCAATAGCCCACCAAACATGTTGTAGTTTTTAATATTTTTATCTTTAAAAACCATGTACATTAATAATTTATCATGTTTATAGAAACGCTTTGATATAGTTACTTAACGACACAGTAATCTATAGTGTATATACTAGTACTTCGCATACATAGAATTCATAGACACAAAAAAAATTGTGATAAAGACAATAAGAGATCACCCTTGTTATTAAAAGCAGCATATTACATACATGCTTGATGAATAAATAAAGTATAAAGTATGCTGCTTGCTATACTAGGAAGCATATATCATCATTAAGTATGTACACGCTATGTAAAACAAGAATACATCTCATCATTAAGTATGTACACACTATGTAAAACAAGAATACACCCCGCTGTTACATTCTACACTGCACATAACCTTTAGTATATCACTGTAAATACCCTTTGTGTGTATACATCTTATAATCCCCCCCCCCCTTCGTGATGTTGAGTACTCATCGTTCAACTCTCAACCAGAACAAACACACTTCTGTTGGGACAAGTTCTAGAACCTCCTCCATTCCACCCCAACCCCCCCCCCACGCCCCGCTATGTTTGTCGTCGTCCCCCCCCCCCCCCCCGCAGCAATGTTTGTCCCCACCCTTGTGTGTGGATGAGCACTAGAAATCAATTATTCTTTTCTCCTGAGTACAAGTTTTAATTAAAAAGCTAACTAACGTGTTTGGAGAGGGGAGGGGGGGGGGGGGGACAACAACGATACTGCCGATAGAGGGTTGATCGCTTGCTTGTAGACATGGTTAAATGCAACTCAAATTGTCGGCACAATTTGGTTAGACGTACGCAGTGTTGAATTGCTGTTATCGACGATACAATAGGGGTTAGGATCGGGGTTAAGGGGTTTGGGTTGGGTTCACTCAGCAAAAAAGTGACGGTGTGGTCGAATGGTAGAGCGTTCGACTGCAAACCCGGATGTATCGGGTTCGGAAAACTTGAGTCCTTGAGTCCACCCAGCTTTATTGAGTACCTGACTCATGTTAGGGGAAAGAAAGGCCGCTGGGCATATTGCTGACCAAACTATCCCTTCACATGCCGAGGTCACTGAAATATGCCGTAATTGTACCAAAAATAACTTTACTTAAATTGCCCAATGGACCTTAAGGTTCAAAAGATTATTGTACTTTTATTTTTCGCTTACCAAATAATTCAAGCACATTTTGATTAGCCGTACCCCTTAACTAAAGCACGAGAAGAGGGTTAGGGTTATAGCTATGGCGGTTAGGATTAAAGCCTGGGTTAGAGGTAAAGCATAGTTTAAGATTAGGACTAATGTTAGTACAAGCTTAAGTTAAGGTTAGGGCGAGGGTAAGATTGGGTTGTCGGCCTTACTTGTGAGTAGATTATCGGTGTAGGGTGTACCGAATGATTGCGATGTAGAGTTGTCTTATCTTGAGCTGCAGGTAATTGGACAGGTGTGAGGACTGCAACCTGTGGTGGCACATATGGTGTGGCTCTCGTGAGTGATTGTGTGTGGTGTATTTCTAGTTAGTGAGTGCAGTGTATTTCTAGTTTGTGAGTGTGTGTCGTGTATTTCTAGTTTGTGAGTGTGTGTGGTGTATTTCTAGTTTGTGAGTGTGTGTGGTGTATTTCTAGTTTGTAAGTGTGTGGCGTGTATTTCTAGTTTGTGAGTGTCGTGTTTTTCTGGTTTGTGAGTGTCTGTGTTGTATTTCTAGTTATTGTGTGTGTGTGTGTGATATTTTTAAATGCAATACTACGTGGAGGAAATAAATAAAATATATATAAACTTTAAAATAATAAGATTTTTAAAATGCACTAATATATTAAAATACAAATAAATTTCTAAATAATCATAAGCGTTGGTCGCTAAGTATTATTGAATAAGTGTCTAGAGCGACTAAAGTTTGTACTATTATAATTATTAAAATTATTTTTACATTTTGTATTCTTTGTGCTTGTTATTGATTGTTTGATATTAAATTGTTTTCAGTATTTAGATATTGTAAAGCAATAACATTAAGAAGATAATTATGATTTAAAAATAATAAATACAACAACGTTGTAAAAAACTATCTACTTAAAGAAGTCTGTGTCAAACGCTATGTTTACAGAAGTGTCATTTAATTGTATTTAAAGTTACGCCATCATCTACTTAGTTTGAGATCAAATTAATCCAGATTAAAGATGAATTAATGGTTGGATTTAAGTCAATCAGATATTTGCTTCGATTATTTTTTTTGGGAGTTGTTAGGATTCTGAGTGTGGGAATTTATAAAACTCCGTTTAGTATAATTAGAGTTTAATAAAACTAAAACTAAATAAAAAGCGTTTTTAATTAGGAAAAAGGTTGAACCTCTATAGAAATGGCATGCTGCTTACAATTAATTTAGTTTGAAAAGGTCACCACGTTTAGCTTTTAAAGTGTTTCAAAATGTATGTCTAGGTTAAGATATAAAGGGTTGGGTTAAAATGTATGTCTAGGTTAAGATATAAATGGTTGGGTTATAATGTATGTCTAGGTTAAAATATAAATGGTGTAAAGGGTTAATACTAAGTGTCAATGCTTTAAGATGATGTCTAAGTCGAAGTTCCAATTCAAGCACTTCACATTCTGTAAAACTCTCTCTACCTCGAGTCAAATTGATTATATTCGTCTGGGCTGGGCCGTCGTTTATTTTTTTATATCAATGGCGCCGAGATTTTCAGCCCCCGAGCAATTAGTCACGGCCTGTAGCAAAATTGATTTTGATCAACTTACTTTCAAATGTTACCTGCTTGCTTAAGCGATCAGATACTGGCGCCAACCATGGCAGCGCGCGCTGGGTTGTTGGGTACTTCCGGCCACCATCTTAATTGATAATCGATGCCATCTCGCGGTGGAGGGACAATTATTTTTAAACCGGGGTTCTGGTCTATAAATAGAGCCGGTGACATCACCACAACAGCGTGACACGGACGATTGGGGTTCTCAGTGGAGAAATTATGATAAGGGGGGGGGGGGACTTTAGTCTGATATGTGCGGTTAATCAATTTACTAAGTCAAGTTAACTAGCAGTCAAGATGCAGTCATGATGAGGCTAGGTTATGTGTGATGAGTCTAGCTCCCAGGTTATGCATCAAGAGCTTAGTTCCCATGTTATGCATGATAAACTTAGCTCCCATGGTATTGATAATGAGCTTAGATAGCAGGTTATACATGATGAACTTAGCTTGCTGGTTATGCATGAGTTCAGATTGCAGATTATTCATGAGCTTAGATAGCATTTTACACCTGATAAACTGAGGCATGTTTTAGAAGTGCTGTTTGACAGGGTAGAAAAAGCAGTGTTGTTTTGGAAAGGAATGTGTACATTGCCTAAATCAACCCATCCATGTATGTTATCTTGAGCTTATTATAGAACACTAAACGAAATTTTCACCCCCCCCTACCCCACCTCTACCCCTATAATATGCTATATAGCACTTCCCCTCATAGAACATTTTCGAAGATCACTATTTTCCACCTTCAATCACAGCGCTATTTCATACTACAAAAACTTATTTTGTCAATAAACTATTGAAAACAATTCGTCATCACTTAAAAGAAAATCTCTTTAACACCTTCTCTAAAAACAGTTTAAAAATCTAACATTTCTAACATGAAAAAAATATTGAAAAAAAGTAAGAAAAAAAAATGAAAAGAAAGAAATAAAAAGCACATCACAACCACCATGGTGTTACATAACACATGTACGACCCTCAAAGTTCAGAGGATAGTCTCTGACACTCTACCACTAGACCACCCAAACTCAGACATCACAATTAGACTACATGCTCTAATCGGACAAATAGCACAGACGATAATGACGAAACTAATTTAGATTGATTTAGATACACATAAATGCATGTATTCAGTGGCGTAGCGAGGTCGGGTGACACCCGGTGCGGCACTTAATGGTGTCACCCCCCCCCCCCCCCAGAGGCGCAGCGACCCTTCCCGGGGACAAATTTTCGATTTGCACCCCCCCCCCCCTAGAACTTTCGATAGACTAAAAATTAAATTATATTAAAATGGATATAAAATTTAGAATACTTTAGATGGTCTTAAACTGAAATGTTGAGATTGAATTGGTATACATTATATACGCTTTATAGACGTAGTAAAATTTTTCTGGGTGGGATGACGCGGTCTTAGATATATTTAGAAAAAGGTCAACATAAAAGATGAGTAGATCGTTGTAGTACTAGAATGTTGTGGTCCGTCAGTAAACTGTTGTAGTACTAGAATGTTGTGGTCGGTCAGTAAACTGTTGTAGTACTAGAATGTTGTGGTCGGTCAGTAAACTGTTGTAGTACTAGAATGTTGTGGTCGGTCAGTAAATTGTTGTAGTACTAGAATGTTGTGGTCGGTCAGTCAGACAGTAAAAGTTCTGGTCTAACTCCACCGTCTCTCACCTGCCAGGTGTGCCTACAGCGAGTGCGGCAGGTTGTCATGTCCAACAACTCGCTGCCCCACCATCGCCGGCCTTCACCTCCGGCACCACATACACCACCAAGGTCACGGCCACCGAGAGCTGGTCCAGCTGAACATGACACACAACCACCGCGACCACCAACACGACCACCAGCACGACCACCGCACCCAGCCGGACCACGCCGACCACCAGGATCAGCTGCACCGTGACGGGGAGAACTCAAGGTCAACCTGCAGCCCGGCATGTGGCTCGCCGTCTTCCTCGTCGTCTGGTGAGCTGTTTCCCTTGTTTTATATAGGGTCGTGAGTTGTTTCCCTTGTTTTATATAGAGTTGTTTCCCTTGTTTTATATAGAGTTGTCTGGTGAGTTGTTTCCCTTGTTTTATATAGAGTTGTCTGGTGAGTTGTTTCCCTTGTTCTATGTAGGGTTGTTTCCCTTGTTTAACAAAGTTGTTTCCCTTGTTTTATATAGAGTTGTCTAGTGAGTTGTTTCCCTTGTTTTATATAGGGCTGTTTCCCTTGTTTTATATAGGGTTGTTTCCCTTGTTGTATATAGGGTCACTGGTGTTGGGTGGATGATGTCCCTTATGTTGGAAGGGTGATGTCTCCTGTGTTAAATGAGTGATCTCCCCAGTGTTGAATATGTGATATCCCAGGCCTTGGATTTTCGATGTCGTTCGAGTTGAATGTGTGATGTTCTTGTGTTGGATGTGTGATTTTCCTTGTGTTGGTTGGATGATGTCGTCTGTGTTGGATGGGGAAACAATAGCCAATCTTTTGTGTTAATTAAATATTATTTTAATCACAGTTCCTTTTAAGTATCAAATCCTAAGTTCAGCAAACGCTATTTTATCTTAAAAAATCATTTTCAATTCTAAAATTTACAATGTATATATCATCATTTAAATCAGGGGTCTCCAAACTTTTCAGTCCGAGGGCCGTATTAACTATCAAATTTCAGTTCGAGGGCCAGTTTCTTCCAGGCTTGTCATGATTTTTCTGAGCAAAGTTCCTCAGCCTTCACCAACAAACGTCTTTTCCGTGGACAAAAACATCTCCGCGGGCCGGATGAAAGGACCTTGCGGGCCGCATCCGGCCCGCGGGCCGTAGTTTGGAGACCCCTGATTTAAATAAACGACTGCGATTGACAAACTGTATTTTTATCAATTGTAGAGACAGAAATGATGGAGAAGAAGAGAAAGAGCGAGGAGGAAATGAAGGAAGACGCCAATGGAATCAAGAAGAAGAAGGCGAGGACCACCTTCACTGGGCGCCAGATTTTTGAGCTAGAGAAACAGTTCGAGCAGAAGAAATATTTGTCGTCTGCTGAGAGAGCCGAGATGGCGAGTCAGCTCGCGGTCACTGAAACTCAGGTGAGTGAATGGTGGCGCTATAAGGGTGTTTTTTTAATAGTGTCATCATTGGGGGGTCCTTATATGGTGGCGTTAGAAGGGTGTTGTTTTAATGGTGTCATCATTAGGGGGTCCTTAAATGGTGGTGTTATTTGGATGTTTTTTAAATGGTGTCGCCATTAGAGTGGTTTTTAAATGGTGTCATTAGTGTGTTTTAAATGGTGTCGCTAGGGTGTTTTTTAATTAAATAGTGTCGTTATTAAGCTGCTTTTAAATGGTGTCATTAGGATGTTTTTAAATTGTGTCATCAGGAAGTTTTTAGATGGTGTCGTTAGGGTGTTTTTTTTAATAGTGTCGTTATTTCATTAGGGTGTTTTTGTGGTTTCTTCAATAGGGTGTTTTTTAATGGGTTCATCCGATTGGGTATATTTTATAATACAACGTGTCTAAACACAAACAATATTTCATAATATGAACAACCTGTTATGATATGAACAATCTGTCGTTATGTAAACAACCTTCCCTATAGTCTAATCTCAATTAACGTCCAAATTGAAATCAACGACATTTTAAAAACAGCATATTCTGACCCCACCACTCGATCAATACAGCACCCCCACCCCCTCAACCCACCACACCCCCACCCCCTCAACCCACTACACCTGCACCCTCCCATCTTAGTGTGTGGCAAGATTTTGTTTGTAATAAGTTGCAAGGCAAACTGGCATAGATTGGCAACCTGCCCATGTGGAGGTTTTTTTTTTCTCTCCAACAAATCAAAGTCTTACTTCTCAGCATTCACTGTTGATCAGGGGACATAACTGTCACGTTTTTTGCTTTGATTTCAATACGCCTGCCCAGAGTTATGCGACTTTGCGGGTGATTTTTAACGACGCTGGGCCGCTTATACGATCATCACTGTCTCGCTTCACGCTGTGATGGCGTGGAGGAGGGGTTGCGGCGGTGGGGAGGGGGTTCACGTCCATGGGCTTCAGGGTGTTATTTTATGCAATCTCTTCATTGTGTGAAAACACATAAGACGGGACGTATTTTTAAAAAACTGCTTTATAAAGCAATTAATGACTAATACAAAAGAACGTTTTTCAACTGAAAGCCTATGTTATCCCGATAAGTGCTAAACGTTTTTACGAAACAGCCTCTTTTCTGTAAGGTTTTTTACCCTCTCCTTTCTTCATCTTAGGAGGTAGAAAAAAGGGTTTAAAGCACGCTATAAACAAGTAAATGAATACAAACTATCAACGAAGTAATTTCCTTAACCATTAACCTAACGTGCGTTAATCCCGTCAAACAGACTACAGTGGAGTTAACTTGTCATAAACGTCCACTGATACAAAACGCTTTAACACCATCGGGTTAGCGTTACTCGCTATAACGACATAACTAGGATGAAACGTCTCAAGTTTTTTTCAACTGCGTCATTTTTAGACGTCATTTTTTGTCACGTGATCAACGTCACGATTGGTCGGCTCGGTGGCCCATAGAATTAATATGTGGCCTACATATTTTAGAAAAAAAAACTTCAATGAAATAATATTTTATTCTTTACTAAAAATGGAATTACAAATTCTATTATGATAATCAAATTAAATCATTATTTTAAAATTTAGTCAGATTGTATTATATTAGATTAAACAGATTGTGTTTCGATGAATTATTAAGCATAGTTATATCACGATAAATCAGACTACATGATTATATTTTGATGAACCAGATTACAAAGGTAAGACGATTATTACGAGATGTATTCAGACAAGATCCTAATATAAATAGCAACTCGTTCCAACTCAAAAATAAAAGTACACTTTGTAATTTTCATAAAAGATCCTTATTTCAAAGTAAATTTTGAAAATAAAAACATTGAAATGGAAACATTTTTCGGTTGTTCATATCAACATCACCATCCCTTCATATACCGAGGTACAGAAATAAGTGAACTCTACTTCACTTGCCCCGTAGATCGTCAGGTTTGAAAGGGAACTTTACTAGTTTTAAATATCAACATACAAAAAACAAAGAATGATTAGCCTAGTCTCCTGTGCTTTCCAACGTAATCTTGATCTTGATAAATATAATCATGAAATCGGATTTATCTTGTCATAATTATTTTATCAAAAATTTTAAACTAAATTATAACCAGAAACAATTTGTAATAAGTAAATAAAAATAATGCAACCAAATTGATTTATTAAAAATCCTGAATGCAATTTACTAACATGATCGCTTTGTTGTACAAAACAAATAAAAATCAGGTTAAGTTTAATTGAAATTAAATCAATACTTTTGATTATAATTATCGACTTTGTACTTTAGAAAACAAAAAAGGACTTTGTTACTCTAAAACGTGTTGCAAATTTTATACGTTTTTTAGAAGCCAACTATTGATTTCTACATATTTTTTAATGAACGACTTCTTTGTAACAAAAAAGGAATAAAATGTCTATAAAATCTGGCAATTAAAACACAAACAAGACAAGGTGAAAAGAAAAAAGACTGAGTGGGGACAACAGTAGCTTCCAGGGGAGGGGGGGGAGGCATGCTGGGGTGTGTTAGTGGTTGATCATCTGCTTGTGGATGGTGGGGTGGGGTCTGATGGGGTGGGGTCTGATGGGGTGGGGCACGCTGGGGTGGGGCCGGCTGAGGTGTTTTAGTGGTAGGTAATCTGCTTGTGCATCGTGAGTACATAAAGTGAGGTGTGATGTGTGTGGGTAGGGGGGGAGGTAGTTTATAAAGCAGGGAACTGAAACTGTGTGGGGTGTGGGGGTAACAAAATGAAGCTGTGGGGTGTGAGGGGGTTACTTTATAACATATTGAACCGATTAGATATAAAGATACAGAACATAGAGATAAAAAATAAGCCTTGTGTTGTGTGGATGTTACTTTAAAAAGTATCAAGTTTTACTGGAAGGTAAGGGTTACTTTATAAAGTATCAAGTTTTACTGGAATGTAAGGGTTACTTTATAAAGTATCAAGCCAAAGTTTTATTGGAATGTAAGGGTTACTTTATAAAGTATCAAGCCAAAGTTTTACTGGAAGGTAAGGGTTACTTTATAAAGTATCAAGCCAAAGTTTTATTGGAATGTAAGGGTTACTTTATAAAGTATCAAGCCAAAGTTTTACTGGAATGTAAAGGTTACTTTATTAAGTTTAAAAATAAATTATGTTAATGAGTTCTGGTATATTTGATAAAGTATAAACCAAAGTATGGTGATGTGTTTTTAATACAAGTGGATTGAAAAGATTTAACTTTAGGGAAGGGGGTTTTGTTGACAGATGATCGAACTACGCGAGTAGAATGGGGGTGGAGGAGGGTGTTGGATAAAATATTGACCCAAAGGTCAAGCCGATGGGTTGCTTATAACGTATCGACCAGGATATTTTGTTACCTCACATCAAATTTTAACACACGTCGTTTGATCTCAAATCTGACTTAGATTGATTTTTATTGCGGTATAATTCTTTTATATATAATACTTGTAAAAAAAAGTTTTTTTTATAACTTTTGTTTGATGAAATTTATTACAATTCAGCGTTGGAGCTGTCCTTCTGTTTTTATAGCCCATATCGGTCATCTTAAAGAACTTTACCTAGTTTTGTGTGTAGTCTATAGCCCACATCGGTCAACTTTAAGAACTTTACCTAGTTTTGTGTGTAGTCTAAAGCCCATATCGGTCAGCTTTAAGAACTTTACCTAGTTGTGTGTGTAGTCTATAGCCCATATCGATCAGCTTAAAGAACTAAAGCTAGTGTTGTGTGTAGTCTATAGCCCATATGGGTCAGCTTTAAGAACTTTACCTAGTGTTGTGTATAGTCTAAAGCCCATATCGGTCAGCGTTAAGAACTTTACCTAATTTTGTGTGTAGTCTAAAGCCCATATTGGTCAGCGTTAAGAACTTTACCTAGTTGTGTGTAGTCTAATATTGCATCTACGTTAGCCGGTCGTGTATGGTCAGTATCGGCTCAAGCAATACTTAATTAACTAGCCAGAACGATACAGGGTTGGAAATTCGACATTTCTGTCACTCAGACTACTAACCGCTAGACCAGGGGGTTGCTACAGTTCTGAAGCCCCCCCCCCCTGTTATGCCGCTAAACGCAGGGATTCCCGCAATTTTGTCCCCCTTGCTACCAGTCGACAGACTCGGGTTGTTGTTTTTTTTTTAAAATTATTTCCAGCTGGTTTGGACATTATGGGCAGTTTGGTCAAATGCCAGAGTACAGCACGGGTACAAACTCATGACTTCCGGGTTGGCTCTTGTGTGTTCTATCGCTAGACCGCGTCGCCCCCTAGTCTAAAATACTGATTAGTCTAAAATACTGCATCTAATTAAAATAATTAATCATGTTTAAAATACTCAAGACAGAGTTTAACCCAAAAGCGTATCATCATCATCTTCTTTTCCCGTAGTGTCTAAGACACATGGGAGAGATGAAATAGAGTTCATCTGTTTTAATGACCTCGGCATATAACGTTTTCTGTAACGTTAGTCAAGTACCCTTTAGAGCTGGGTGAACTCAGGGACGTCTTGCGGACTCGAGTCAGGGATTCTAACTCTGTGTGTATATATATATATATATATATATATATATATATATATATATATATATATATATATATATATATATATATATATATATATATATATATATATATATATATATATATATATATATATATATATATATATATATATATATATATATATATATATATATATCTATATATATAATTCTCTTCTTCGAGCCGTTAGAAAACAAGCTGCAAACGCTCTCCCTACCTCCCCACCCCTACATGGTTTTAGTGAGCTGTGTTCACTCTAAATGTTTACAAGCAGAGCCAACGATTTTAAACGTAGGGGGGGGGGGGGGGGAGGAGGGGGGGGGGGAGGAGGGGGGGGGGGGAGGAAGGGGGGGTTATGGTCCTTAACGAGCTACTTATAGTGTTTTAAAGAAATATTTTCAGTGTCAGCGTTGGTACTGTCGAATTCACAAATTATGAATTATTGAAAATTAGAAACAACTAAATAGCGGCGTATGTTATGCCGCGGGCCGGCTCGTATATATATAATTCTCCTCTTCGAGCCGTTAGAAAACAAGCTGCAAACGCTCTCCCTACCTCCCCACCCCTACATGGTTTTAGTGAGCTGTGTTCACTCTAAATGTTTACAAGCAGAGCCAACGATTTTAAACGTAGGGGGGGGGGGGGAGGGGGGGGAGGAACGGGGGGGGGGGGGGGGGGTTATGGTCCTTAACGAGCTACTTATAGTGTTTTAAAGAAATATTTTCAGTGTCAGCGTTGGTACTGTCGAATTCACAAATTATGAATTATTGAAAATTAGAAACAACTAAATAGCGGCGTATGTTATGCCGCGGGCCGGCTCGTATCTATATATATAATTCTCCTCTTCGAGCCGTTAGAAAACAAGCTGCAAACGCTCTCCCTACCTCCCCACCCCTACATGGTTTTAGTGAGCTGTGTTCACTCTAAATGTTTACAAGCAGAGCCAACGATTTTAAACGTAGGGGGGGGGAGGGGGGGGGAGGAAGGGGGGAGGGGTTATGGTCCTTAACGAGCTACTTATAGTGTTTTAACGAAATATTTTCAGTGTCAGTGTTGGTACTGTCGAATTCACAAATTATGAATTATTGAAAATTAGAAACAACTAAATAGCGGCGTATGTTATGCCGCGGGCCGGCTCGTATATATATAATTCTCTTCTTCGAGCCGTTAGAAAACAAGCTGTAAACGCGCTCCCTACCTCCCCACCCCTACATGGTTTTAGTGAGCTGTGTTCACACTAAAGGTTTACAAGCTGAGCCAACGATTTTAAACGTGGGGGGGGGGGGGGGAGGAAGGGGGTGGGGGGGGGGGGGGGGGGTTATGGTCCTTAACGAGCTACTTATTGTGTTTTAAAGAAATATTTTCAGTGGCAGCGTTGGTACTGTCGAATTCACAAATTATGAATTACTGAAAAGTAGAAAAAACAACTAAATAGCGGCGTATGTTATGCCGCGGGCCGGCTCGTATATATATAATGCACGAATCGCACTGCATTAAATATGTGTAGATCAATATGTGTTCCACACTACCATTCAACTTTTGTGCACCTTCCCCAGGTAAAAATTTGGTTCCAGAACCGCAGGACCAAGTGGAAGAAACAGGAAAATATTTCCAGCGCGGAGGTGGCGGAACACAAACTTAACGCGGAGAAAAACGTCATCAAGGCCAAGAACCGAAAGAACACGGAGCCGCGGGCGGAGATATCCATGGAGCATCGGCTGGACTTCGAGTCCAGAGGCGTCCTCAGTCACCTGAACACCCTGGTCTCCCGGGATGTGTTAGAGATGGCGGGAGGGGTGCCGCCCATGAAAAAAGACTTGCACGATTCATCCAGAATCTGCGCGTACCAGACCAAGCTTCATGACGTCAAGGCTTTGGATCTTTGCGGAGTTGCCGCCCATTCGATGTTTTCTTCAGCGTTGAGTTCCGGCGGTAAAGCGGAAGTCCCGGAAGATCTGAGCATGCGCGAGAAAGACGAAAACAGGAAAAGTCATGCTGGTTATAACCAGGTCAAACATGGAGATTCACCTTTAAACCGGGTAGGGTCAAATGTCAAGGACGTTTTAATAACATCGATTGACCGCGGGTTTGGGTTGTCGGGTTGTCGGTCTGACGAGGACATGGACGACGCTTTCATCTCGTCGCCAAAGTCCAGGTTCGACGCCGAGGATTCCAAGTCGCCCCCGTCCCCGTACCAACACAGCATCCGCTTCGAGCAGCGGGTCCCGACGCTAACCGACTCGGCCACCAGCCCTTCCCCTCCACCGTGTTCCGACAACACTGACAGCCGAGAGAGTGACGTCAGCCCCGCTAACGGTGCCAGCTCTGGGGAGGTTCCAGGCGAGTCGGTGGTCTCCGGGCAACCTGAGGTGGGCTCTCAGCAGTCGGAGGTCAAACACACCTGGCAAGGTGCGACAGGTGCCGAGTCAGGTGAGGCGATAGACGTCACGGATAAACCGGCAGTCAAGTCTGAATGATGGAGAACCTTGGCACCGCTCGTCTGAGATGGTACCACCATGTCCACAGGAAGTCTGAATGATGGAGAACCTTGGCACCGCTCGTCTGAGATGGTACCACCATGTCCACAGGGTACAGGTGGGCTGTCTGTAGCACACCTACAGCACACCTGTCTGTGTGTGACATACCTGCGACATACTGTCTAAATCACATATTGCTAGACCACAGACTACCTGTGCTAGACTATGTATTGCACACCTTTGCCAGACTGTGTACAGCACACCTGTACTAGACAAAAGCACACCTGTGCTATACTGTTTAAATCACACCAAACTACATCATAGCTGCAATGTGTTCAAATCTATTTTGTGACCTCAAGAACTTGTAAAATTGACTTTAATATTGCCGTGTACAAAACAGAACTAAACAAAATATGTATACATATTATGTGTTTGTATGACCTGAGTATGGAGAGAATGTATACATATGTGTTTGTATGACCTCAGTATGACAATGTAGAGAATGTATACATATGTGTTTGTATGACCTAAGTATGTAGAAAATATATACATATGTGTTTGTGTGACCTGACTAGGAGAGAATGTATACATATGTGTTTGTATGACCTGAGTATGGAGAGAATCTATACATATGTTTTGTATGACCTAAATAAATGGACTCTGATAGCTAGCTAAAAGAACAGACACATTATTTGTACTTACGTTTTGTATTTGAAATGAATGTACATTGTTTATTGATATATTTATAGCATAATGAAAAGTAATATCAAAATATTGTATACAAATTCAATTCAATTTAGATTTTACTGTTTTAACTAAAATAAGGACGCGTTTTAAAAGTGCAAAAGAATAATTTAAATCTACTAAACGGTTAGACCTGAAATACTAATCTCGTCACGTTTACAAGTGTTGAATCGTAACGTTTTCCATATAGAATAAGTTGAGTTTTTTTAAAAACACGACAATAGGTCTCATTGGTAGAATACTGTAGTCGGAAGTTTGGACATAGCTTGTCATATTATACGCACATTGAAACATTTCTTAAAAATGTGTTTTCCTTATACTTCCAGCTACTTTTCCCCTCTAAATTCCCCAAGAATCACCTTGACATGGCTGTATTCAACACTGTGTAATGTGTAGTCTACACACCATGATAAATCAAAGCTTTATGTTCCTGTTGAGGTTTGGTATATTTGTGATATTAAACGAACAATTAATGTACATTACTTGGTGTATGTGTTGTTGTTATAATTGCTGGGGCAATAAGATGTTTCTAAAATAAAAAGATAATTGAGTATCATTTTTTTAAACGAAGAGAAAAAAAAAATACCTCACTTTTTTTTTTTTTTTTGGTCTGTTTTTTTTTTTTTTTTGTATGTATGAGTAGTACAAATAAAACAAGACTTTTAAATCTTTACCCGAACCGGATTCCCTGTTTTAAACCATTACTTTTGTAACATCCACTGAAACTCACATCACTAACAGTAACACTGACATTAGGTAAGTAGATGTTGCTAACTGGAGAGTATTGTATTCTATTGTCAGGGATTTCAGTAACACCTGACTCCTACCTGAGAGGTGGGTTAGGGATAGGGATAAAACATGAGATGTGTTTGATACATGTTTTATGATAACATTTTATTATGATGTTTAACGGTGTATGTTTTATGATACATGTTTTATGATAAAAGTTTTATGATACATGTAATATGAAACGTGTTATATGAAAATGTTTTATATTAAGATTATGTTCTATTCTCTCGTACCAGACTTCACATTTCTAGTCTGAAAATAAAATCTAATTTTGTCAGTAGTTGGCAGTTTGTTTTTTTCTTTCTTGATATTATAGCTCTGTGGAAATTTTTTTTATTCTCATTGATTTACTGCTGTAAACATCGTAGATCACTAACTTAAACACATTGAATCAAAGCCTTAAAAACGTTGAATTACTAGCTTAAACACATTGAGTCACTAACTTAAACATAATAAATCACTAACTTAAACACATTGAATCAAAGCCTTAAACACGTTGAATCACCAGCTTAAACACGTTGAGTCACTAACTGAAAGACATTGAATCACTAGCTTAAACACCATAAATCAATAAAATAAACACAATAAATAAATAACTGAAACACATTAAATCAAAAAGCTAGTACAGAACATTGTGCCACATCTTGTTTGCTGTTTTCAACATGAAGGCAATACTTACGGTGACCGGAATGGTGCGCAACGGAAAACTGCGCACAAAAAAAGTGCATTTAGAGACATTAACAAATAACTATCACACGTACATCATAACATAATAAATGATTTTCTCCACGAAATATCAGAAAATTAAATTGAAATAGTATAGGCCCTAATTATTTTGCATTTGCGCATTTTTCTGTTTGCATAGTTTTCCGTTGCGCAGTTTTGCGTTTGCACATTATTTCTGGGAGCCATACTTACACATACAGTCTAGTTGGGGGGAGGGGGGGGGGAGGTTCCTTATCTATAAGGTCTAGTGACAGAGTCTGATGCATTAATTCTAAAATCGTCACCAAACATATTAAGATAAATTCCTCACATACAGCTTTATCATACATTTTGTTATTATTTAACGTCTTGATATAACTCCGCTCTAGTCACCAAACCACGACCAAATACTTAAGACATTATTTGAACTTATTTGCTCACACGGAGGTAAGTCGATTTCTCTCAACATGCAACTTTGCACACGAACCTGCTTCACTAAACTCTACAGTAGATTAATTGTCACTTGCTCATACAAATGTTGTACATAAATGCGACTCACTAGATTTTTTATAAACAAGACATAACGCATGTGTTTAAAGGAAATATAAAAACATCACAAAACATCATAAACCATCATAAAACCATGATTAAAATATCATGATAACATGGCACCTTTATGTTGGGTGGTAGCGGGTAAACAGCAATTATTTATTCGTCATAAAATTGCTTGCGGGTGGGTCTACCTGATACTAACACAGATTGGAATTATTTACAGAGGACTGGGCAATATTATGACAACATTTGGGAAACATTTGAGAAATATTTTGGCAAGATTTGGGCAATATTTGGGCAATATTTGGGATACATTTGAGAAATATTTGGGCAACATTTAAGTAATATTTGGGCAACATTCGGGCAACATTTGGGCAACATTTGGGCAACATTTGGGCAACATTTGAGCAACATTTGGGCAGCATTTGGGCAACATTTGGGCAACATTTGGGCAACATTTGGGCAACATTTGGGCAACATTTGGGCAACATTTGGGCAACATTTGAGCAGCATTTGGACAACATTTGGGAAACATTTGGGCAACATTTGGGAAACATTTGGGCAACATTTGGGCAACATTTGGGCAACATTTGGGCGACATTTGGGCAACATTTGGGCAACATTTGGGCAACATTTGGGCAACATTTGGGCAACATTTGGGAAACATTTGGGCAACATTTGGGCAACATTTGGGCAACATTTGGGCAACATTTGGGCAACATTTGGGCAACATTTGGGCAACATTTGGGCAACATTTGGGCAACATTTGGGCAACATTTGGGCAACATTTGGGCAACATTTGGGCAACATTTGGGCAACATTTGGGCAACATTTGGGCAACATTTGGGCAACATTTGGGCAACATTTGGGCAACATTTGGGCAACATTTGGGCAAGATTTGGGTAACATTTGGGCAACATTTGGGCAACATTTGGGCAACATTTGGGCAAGATTTGGGCAACATTTGGTCAACATTTGGGCAAGATTTGGGCAACATTGCACATTGGACCACATCGAGCAACATTCTGCAATAATGGGAAAAATTGGACAACATTGGATAACACATTGGGAAGCATTAGGAAATAGTGGAAAACATTTTGCAACATTCGGCAACATTGGGTAACATTAGGCAATATTGGGTAACATTAGGCAACATTGTGCAACATTCGGCAACATTTGACATATAAGGTTACATTGGACACTATGGTATCTAAGAAACAAGACTAATATTTACCCATCCCTTTCACCAATTTTATTTTAAGCTTGTCTGACAAATAAACTGTTATACAGCTGGGGGGTATTGGTGTTTCTTGGGGACCAGGGGGGGGGGGGGCTTAAAGAAGGTAGCGATGTTAGTGGGAGTCTTGTTGTCACAGGCCCTTTAAATCTTGTATTACCAAAAGCACAGCACAGCGATGCAATCGTTCAATAATAAGACTAATTAACATACAAGAACTAAACACAAACTAAATCGGTTCAAGTCCGCCCTTTGATAACATAATATAAAAAGTGTATACTAGTTGAGTGAAACTATTTAAACAGTTTATTATATTTTATTTTCAAAAATACTGTTTTAAAATTGTTATTATTATTTTTTTTACCAAACAATCAAGAAAGAAAAATGTTATTGATAAAGTGGCTTTTAATTTCTGTTAATTTTGTTGCATAAAACATTAATTGTAATTGCAAAGACAGAAAAAAACCCAGCGTGCACTAATTTGTCAGTGGTATTCTGCTACCAAGTTAATGAGATGGAATTTACATAATTGGCAGCGCTAATTTGCATAATCCAAAGACGCTCTGTAGGACTAAAGAGGATGTCCAAGTTTTAGTGTATAAAGGGAATGTCCAAGTTTTAGGGTATAAAGGAAATGTCCAAGTTTCAGGGTATAAAGGTAATGTCCAAGTTTTAGGGTATAAAGGTAATGTCCAAGTTTTAGTGTATAAATGAAATGTCCAAGTTTCAGGGTATAAAGGAAATGTCCAAGTTTCAGGGTATAAAGGTAATGTCCAAGTTTTAGGGTATAAAGGTAATGTCCAAGTTTTAGTGTATAAATGAAATGTCCAAGTTTCAGGGTATAAAGGTAATGTCCAAGTTTTAGGGTATAAAGGTAATGTCCAAGTTTTAGGGTATAAAGGTAATGTCCAAGTTTCAAGGTACAGAGGATGGAGAATGACCTTCAGGTAATAAGATGAAATTGAATGACCAA